AGCGAGTATTGTTGCCACGAGACGCAACAAAACACTTGTGGAGTGACACTGAAACCAAATACATGCTTGTTGAAATGAAGGATTTAAATATTCTTCATCGTCTAGATGATGTATGTTCATATTTTCAGGTAAAGTGACTCGATGTTTAAAAAAAAGCAGCATGAAGTTTGAGTTTTATGTTTCGTTTACTGGTTTACTGGCTGCTTGCAAAGCAGAAATCTGATTACTGTCTGACTCATGTAGACCGAGAGATTCCCCATTATCTGATTACTCAATTGCATATAAACGCGCTGATCAGATTACTGACAAAATCTGATTTTCAGCAGTTATCGGATTATTAAGTACACGTAAACACAGTCACTGTCTGTGTTGAATATCGCTATATACCTTCTTATTGAATATATCAGCACATGTCTATAACACTGTTATAGCACCGTATGTGTTTAGATGAGCAGAGTGATCAGTGATGTCACTGCGTCCTTCAACAATTAGAAAGTGACTCATTTCTATCAGGGCATCACTCTGTGATAATGTATCTGTTTATTTGTCCAGGCTTGACGCTCTGAAGGGGGAGGAAAAAAAAAAAAACACTGAAAAACCTAATAATGATCTGAAACACCCTTATACTACCAAGCGAACTGGATCACCTCCATGACTTTATAATAATTACGAGGCAAATCTCTTCTCTGTATTAAAGCAGGAGAGCTGCATTAATTCTAATCAGCGTGTGTAGTGAGGCTTGACAGCAGGCCCAGGGGGAGAGCGAGCAGCGTCCCATCAGCCACACTCAGGCCTGCCGGAGAGAACAGCCAGCCTATCGTCGCTCTTCAGGGTTCAGCGGCTGCCTGGAGAGAGACACTGACCTTTCCCTGCACTGGCCGCTCCACTGTACCTGCACGGAGCTACTCAAACGGCCTTTTTACACCAGGGTGAAAATGGCAAAGGGAATATTACCTGGCATTTACAGTTACTGTGTGTGCTATTAGCCGGCCAGCTTGTTTATGCCCCACTCGGGAATGTTTTAAATTCCATGCACTGGTTCGGGATGTCAGCATTACAGACTGATCAACATGGCGATTAAGATTTGGCACAGTTATTACTGATCAGCGCTGCTGTGAAGATGCATGTCTGCATGTTTTATATGCATTAAAGGTGGCTGAGTGGTGGCACTGCTAGAAAGCAAAATAATAGCTAAAGGTTGTAAGTTTATGCTTCTTAATGCTGTCCTACCACAAATGAGCATGAAATGAGTGTGTGTTTGTATCTGAGGGCGAACGAGAGAGCGAGAGAGAGAGGGAAATGGACAGAGAGAATGTTTATGCCATTACAAAAATAATTGCCTTATTCCTGTTTTGATGATCCGCAGACCAGTTATTTATTTAAATAAACTAATCTGAAAGTCAGTATTGAATTTCAGTTGTATGTATTTATAACATCAATTAGTGCTAATAATGAAGTGATTAAATTGGGTGCATGTAATGATAACAATGGCATTCAATAATATTCAGCAGAAATGTAAGAAACCTTTTACAGTACGTAGCATTTAGGGACAAAATGTGATATAAATGTTACATGACAAGGCCTGTCATAATAATGGAATTTAATGTGATGATTAATTGCCATGTAAATAATAACAATTTAACAGTCTTTAAAACAGTTTTATTTGCTGTGTATAACTAAACGTACAAGTCTAAAGTGGCCAAATTGGCTGGTTAGCTATCTCGCTTCCTAGCTCCTAACCACAGCTCAAGCTCAAATAAACAAACATTACTCACCGCCGCCCTCTAAAGGTGCCAGCAGTCAGAAGATACAACAGTCTCCATAAGACTCATGTTGTGTCTCAGTAAATGTGTTTTCTGCCTTCTTTCATTTTCCAGAATTTGCCTCAATCCAAAGGATAAAAATACCCAATTTAAATGGTGTTTATTGAGATGTAAACATATGAATGTGAAAGCTAACAACTGCGGAAAATAATTGCGATCAGCTCAAATAACTGCAGGCAACTGTGTAATGACAGCCACAGGCCTGTATATGAGATGCATGAGAGAAATTAAAGCCACACGTGGATGTTTTAAAGCCATTTTGTTGATGTCATCTTTACGTAACAAACATGCAGCTCTGTTTCACGTGCCTTGAAAGTTTAAGGAAACCATCACAAGGCAATATATTATATTACATAATATTACATTACATTACATTATATTAAATATTCTGACTGTACTGTTAACAAACACTATGGTGTAAACAGCAAAAACAGCAAATAGCTTCAAAACATGCAAATTTTGGTTCCACAATTGTAATGAAGGCTCAATAGCAAGCGTGTCAAACTGGGGACCTTCCGGGCCAAAGAGCTGCGGAGATTAGCGTTTACCCTTATCTGACATTCAGAATTCCGTTCATGAAGGTCTTGCTATTTAGCTGATGAGCTGAATCAGGTGTGTTTAATGAGGTAACATGCTGGAATCTGCAGCGTTTTGGCCCACAAGGACTGGAACCTGACCCATGTGCTCTATAGCCTGCACATCACCTTCAAAACTCAAAGCTTCAAAGCTTTTTGGCAAATCAGTTGATAAGGTTACGACTCTAATGCACTAAAATCAGCAAGGGTGGCTTTAAGCAGGAAGAGCCACACCCCAAAATCACAATAAACTTGTATAAAGCAGTAAAATCAGACACAGTATCAGTGTAGAGCTACATCACAAACCAGTCCCACCACTGGATGAGCTTCTGTATAACCTCCTCCAACCCCAAGACATTTGCACCCCCAACTGGCCAACCAAACCTGTAACTACAGCACCCAGCCTGATCACCTGTGTACGGCAGCAGGAGCTCGGCAACAACTCAAATGTAAAAACAGTAGGATGACAAGATATCACATCTTCTCTACAGATACCGACACTGACACCCTAAATCTCAGCTGATACCGACTGTTTTTTTTTAATAATAAGCCTTAAAATGAGCTATTTTTAATTGAATCACTTCACTTAAGATGACCACCTTGAAGGACTTTGCTCAAACTACTCAAACAAATTCTCTACTACCCTCCAGGAATGAATACAGGCATTACACAAAATAAAGGAATCCACTATGATACTTATAGTACATGCTTAGGTCAACGTTACGCTATTGTTATTACATGTCCTACTTGCCTTTGCTTCACATTATGTTGCGAGGTCACTGTGTATCAGACAGATCGATCTCTAAATACAGGGGACTAAGCACACACAAACTCAAACAATAACTCATAAGACATTGTGTAGGCCACCAGTAGCCCACATGTTTAATTTGAATTAACAGTACCATTTAATCCTGCTATTAATGTGAAATATTATGCAAATAATATTACCCAAACACAACATTTTAACTGTGAAATCATTGATAATACCTTTAGAAACACATAACTAAACAAATTCTGGCATTTCTGCACTCCTAAAATAGGAATCCAAACTTTTGTCAACTTGGGCCGAGCAAGTGTGGATGGAGAATCATTAACAGACAGAAAAATGTCTTATATTTTAAGTAATTAGGCTTCAAACTGTTTGAAGGGTGTGACATCCTGTTCAAGTCTAAAATAGTATCTTTAGCCATGTAACTCACTTTCTTATTAAAAATACCGTAGCGACCCGCTATTGGCTGGTGCTGACCTCTGGAAGCTTGTGAGGCATGGCCATGCTGATGGCCACTCAAGGAGGATCTTGGGAGGAGAGCGCCCTCCAGAAAAGGGCCTTGTTGATGTTAATGTTGTTGTTTATCATTGTAAGGTGTGTATATGAGTTGTTTGTTATTCTGTGTTGTGGATTGTTGGTGTGTTTAGTTCTTGGGGGCTGGTCTACAGTCAGGGTGAAGCCTGTGGGTGGTGGTGACGCTTTGTATGTGCCTTTCCATGTGGTGTTTAACAAGGGGTACTTCTTGTGGTGGAATCATGGCCCCCTTTGTGTCTTACTAGACACCGACGCTACAATTTTAAAATGTATATCGCTGCTGTCGGGACAAAACCTCGTATCTCTAAAATGGTAACTTCACAGGAGAAGGAAAAAACATACTTTACTTTCAATGTAAGTCAATGGAGCAAGTTGTTTTTCCAAGTAATTTTGGGCCGTTTCTTTTGGTCCACTGATCATGAAATTTCTATACAACGTAAAGGGCAACAGGCATTTTCAAATTATGTCAAAAACTGAAAAAACAACAAAAACGGAGATACAAGGTTTTGTTTAGACAGCAGCGATACAGTAAATATGCTGGGACATGTTAAAACTGTTCAAGTTCATGGGTGCACACTGAGCTAATGAGTGATTCTGTACTTTGGTCATGTGTAAATAATCTGAATCTCTAAATCACTCACTGCAATCATGATCCATCACTTTCAGCAGCCCTTCAGGCTAGATTCATTATTTTCTGTGATTTGTGCATTGCTTATTACTCCTTATTGGCATGGTCTCTTCTGTGTTGAGCCCATGAAGGCCAACTAGTTATGTTAGCATGACAATAAATATTAAATTTGGAACCACCTGTACTTATCTACGGCCTCTAAATGCCTTAAAGTTAGGGGTTAAGCCTAAGAGATCACACACCCTAAAAGACAAAATACACTCCTGTGCAAAAAAATGGCCAAAGCCCAAAATACTGGTTTTCAGTCCAGGTTAAGTCCAGATTTAAACTGTATACAGAATATTCTGATTTACATTAAACCCAAACTAACTTGGCAAAGTTTTTCACCTGTGTGAAGCCACCAGTGCTGAGTGGAAAAATACTGACTCTTCTTCTTATAAAAGGTTGTCTGCAAGTTTACCCACAAGACTTCACCATTTAAAGAAATCAAAGGAAAAGCCCACCCATTCTAGGTTACTTTATGTATTTGTTTAACTCTTAATTAAGAGTTATCAGTTAATTCATTTACTGACTAATAATTTGTTGTTAAGACCATTAAAAGCTCTATGTTTTGGCACTTGTTTGCACGGGAGTGTGTACTACATTTTTATAAAAAAAGACACATAACTCACCTCAGATCTGAGCGCCCAGTATTTCTCCGTCCCATACTGAACGTCTCTGAATGCAGTGAGGTAGTCGTAACTGATGACAGCCGTCTGAAAACAAAGACAATTTTGAAAAAGAAATAAATTTTAAAAAAACCCACATGAAAACATTTCACAGTATAACACTTAGAATAGAAATGACTTTCTAAATTACTGTAATCTGACTGTTCTTGAAGTCTCAGGCTCACACAGTGGGATACTGTGAACAGTTTTGAAAGATCAAGGTCTAATATAACAGTGAGGGTGACGATTATTTTACCGTGGTGGCCGCTCTGCCAAATCTGACGATGCTGAGGTCATTGAGGTCAACTTTCTGGTTGTACAGGTAGAATCCGGATGAGGCAAAGACTGCGGTAGCCACAGATGAGACTTTCAGAAGTCGCCCAGCCATGTGAGGCACTGAAGGAAAATATATATACAATTTATAAAATATAAAATATCTTCAAACAACAACAAAAAAACAATAACAAATAATAACAACAGTAATAATAAAATGTACTATTATTAAACAATTAACTATTAAACCGGTATATTATGACCATTGTTAATGTAGCAACAGAAAAACACCAACAACAATAATAATGCAATCAAATTGAGTGAGTTAACACTGGTGTTGGGTGTTAATGCTACAAAAAAATGCAATAAATATGCACAAATGCTTAATGCTCATGGTGAAATAATGGGGGTTTCTTTTCTCTAAACAGTTATCTGCCTTGTGCTGAACCTTTAGTCTTACTGGAAATAATAAACAGCATGTTTGTTTACCATTTCCTGTCTTTAAACACAAGGGGGTTATTTCACAAGGCAGGATTTCTCCATTGGCCAGATAGCTTAACCCCAAAGATGAGGACTGTCCAGTAAGAATGTCCCTCAGCTCTTTTGACAGGCTTGACATTGGGCTTAAATTATCTAGCTAAACTGAGAGACCCTGCTTTGTGAAATACCCCCAACCAGAGAGTTCAGAGCAAAAGAAACAGCGGCAGAACTCCACGATGCAGCTAAGACAGGGCATTTTACGGCATTTTATTTCTAGAGCTATAAGCCAAACACAGCAGACACCGTCTGTTGAGGATGAGAGACTCTTTGCAGCAGTAAAAGCTTCACAGAACATTAAAAATCCTGATTAATCCTGAGCTCAGCACGTTGTCAGGCAGCTACTGTACACCTAATTATACAAGCAGCTTCACAGCAGGCGCTCGAACGGAAACACAGATCAGCTGCTGAACGTGTCTGAGTTCACGGAACCTTACTGAGCCCATATAAATGTTTAATTTAGTCCATATTATCCGCATTTGCTCCGTTATTTACCCTCTACACACACGCTGTCATTCACTCACCGGCTTTGGTTCGTGATCTCTGAACTCTCGCCTGTGTTCAGCGCAAAGCATGCTGGTCCTTGTAGTTTTTGCCGCTACCTTTCATCCAAGCTAAAGCAGAATATTACAAGGGTTGTAACTTGTAGAATTCGTTATTTTATTCTTTTTCCTTTTATAGAATTACGAATTATTTCTTATACAGTTTGCAGTTATGCTGTTATATGAATTGTAGTGTTTTATCTGTCCAATATTTTGCTTCTCTTCATGTGTGAAGCACTTTAAGATTTTGTCTCAAATCGAGATTGTGCATAAAAGTACTGTATTATTATTATTATTATTATTCCTTATGTCATTATCAATTCATTTAACTCTATTTTAGGTTTTAATTATTTGTTTGTAATTAGCAAGTGTAGTTCACAACTCACATCAATAACTAATAATCAATCCTTGACGATTCAGGTGTGTCAGACCAGGTCAGCACAAACACGCGTGAATAAACTACAGTACTGAAGCATCGAAGCACAGCATTAAACTTTATCAGAAACTCGGTTTAGGCCAACGTTTACACTCTTAGTAAGATCTTTAAGTTTCATAGAACTACATATAGCTTACATTGTCCCACATGTGCTTATCAGCGCTTCATCTCAGTCTCAGAGACTTTTTCATTTTCCCTAAAATAACACATTTCCACCAATGAGCCGATTATCAAGCTCTTTGTGAGAGTAAACAGATCAGTATATGTGTTAAAATGGCAAAATGTGCAGAGAATGGCGCGACACTTGGACTGGGAATAGCTGCGATAAATTCCAGTGATTTTCTCCAAAATTCTGCATAATTAAAGATGTAAACATGTAAACAGTCTGTAGCTTTCATGACAATGAATATCACATCAAACCAGTCTGAATTACTGTCACATCTGAACATCTAAACTATGCGGTACTTTTTAATAAATACTGGAATTGCCTTTTAAATTAAGAGCTGTTCATGTTCTGTACAGACTACTTCAGTTAAACTAGAAACTGTGAGGGAAAACTGTGTGGGAGCCCAAAGACTTCTCCTAAACACACTCACTGTACAGCATCCTTACAAAAATCAAAGTATTAATGGAAGAATGTAGGGATATTTCGAAGCATGTCTCCGTTAGTATAAACACCCATGTATGTATGTAACTACAAAGCTAATGTGATTAACGTATCTTCATTGAAAACATGAATATCTATTTATAGCAAACATTTCCTCCACTTAAATGAATAAATATATTTAATTCAATTTAATTCTAAGTAATTGTTATACAATACACAGAAATATACAGGATGTTTGTCAATAGCACATTTATTTTACAGTTGATGATGATGAACACCACATTTTCCTTTCACACACCACTAAATGTTTGGACATATTTTACAGAGCAGTAATACTGAACAATACAAAAAAGACATTAAATCATCTCCACAGAAATTAAAGCGGTTCAGCTTTCTTCTGCTTCTTTGTTTGCTCTTCTCCCCATAAATGGCTTTCTGTTTCTTTGTACCTGGAGCTGCATTTGAAAGAAAAATATACAATTATAACACAAACAAATAACATTTTCACCACTAACAAAATAAATACAAGTTAAATGAGTGCGAACCGTTTCTGATTCTGATTACTTCAACAAGATCGCTCCAATTTTGGAGGGAAATGATTTGGGACCATCAGACTAAATCAGTCAGACTTTCAATATGTACAAGTTCTACCTGATGTGGTTTCTACATGAATACGACCAGTGAAGCCAGTTTTTAGGCTGCATAAACCAACTTACTTCCTTAACAGTTACATTTTAGTCACTTAAAAAAAAAATACAAAATCAGTAATATGTAAATTTTAAAAAAGACAAATGTTGAGATACATGGATTTATTTCAACAGGTATGTAATGACTCCTGGGTGCTTAAAGAGAAGTCCTTAAATCGATCATAAAAAGAAACACCAGAGTGTGTGTATAGGGGCTGAACGTCTGTCCTGAGGAAGGCCAACTAGACTGAAACACTGGCATACAGATTCACCATCATCATAGTTTAATAAATAATGGTGCGATCATTCAGAGATATGGTACATTTCTAATTTCATAGTGTTTTTTCCCACCTACACAGAATATTTAAATGGTGATTCAACTAATTTGTCATAATGTCTAGATAAATAGTTCATTAAAAGGTAAATACACTCAGTGGTCTCAGTGGACTCTAAAAGCTCCCTCACTGCAAGTTACTACATAAAATGGTTATGCATAAATAGCACCATGCAAAAACTTCCTTTTTCAAATATACTACTATTTTACTATTATCATTACATATGTTGACACTCAGAAGACATGCAGGCTCACTGGTCATTCGGGATATGAGATAAAATGGCTGTATTTGCATTGTAGACACTGTATACCTGGTTCCTATTAGGACCACTGTAAGGTAATCGGAGCAGTTAAGTTACTCCACAATGCACGTCAAACCACTCTGAATGACTTTGTTCACACCTCAGTGGTAAAACCCAGATAGCAAGAGGACAGCAGGCCACTGTTGACCCACTGACAGCAAGCTAGTGGCCCACTGGCTTTTTGCTACTGGTGTTTGCCAGGCAGCCCACTGGTGATTAAGCAGTATTAGATTAAGATTAAGATTATTATCACTCATTTTGCATTTTGTCCAATCTGCTTATTTTTCCTTCACTGCTTTCTTTTGTTACCTTTTGGAAAACAATTTAGTAAGTAATTTTAACCGGAATTTTATAAATAAAGCCAGTTATACAGCTGCAACCAATCTAGCACAGTGTCTGGTACAACATTTTTAATAAAACCATTTCATATTAGGCCTCGTCAATTGTTTGCAATAATAGTCTTAGTTTATTTTTTACAATAAAAGGTTGCATGCATTTAAAATCTTTCTGAGGAGAGACAGGTCTTGTACGCAGGACAGTAATCCAGGTGGTCCGAGGATGGACCAGCAGTGGCGTACAGTCAGCGGGGTGCTAACCTTATCAAGCCAGCGTAATGATATATGCTTGCTATGTAAAAATTTAAAACAAAGAGGATGAAATTCCCCTTTAAAATCTTCTATGCAACCCAGCATGGTCTTCAAGCCAGACTGAAGTTCCTCACCTTGGTTCCCTCAATAAGGTGAGGATCCTTCTGAAGAGCATTCTGCAGACCTTCCTCAGAGGAAAAGCCAATCCAGCAGAAGCCTCTGTGAAACCCCGTCTCTTTATCCTGAGGGACAGAATCAGTGTGAATGAGGCACCAAGCAGAGTATGAACATTCACACATGCAGAATGTGGAGCAAGGCTGATGGAACTAACTGTTACTCACAAAAGGCAGGAGGCATTTCTTCACATGGCCGAACTGCCCGAAATACTCCCTCACCTCCTCTGGAAACGGCATAAAGCAAACACAATTGCAGAAATGTGTGTGAATCAGCATAAACGTTAACAACATCAGTCAAGCTGACAGGCTAACTGTGCTACCTGTACAGAGCCTCCCCATGACTGTTAGCCAACAAGCTAAAGCCGGAACATTAGTGAAAACTGAGGGCGTCACAGTCACAATAAACCACTTATCGTCGGACTAAAACTCTAATGACAGGTAAATCTATCACTGACTCTTCTTCCTAACTTACTCGAGGCGACAGTCCAGGGAATTTTTGAGACAAAAACCTCGAACACCTTCTTGCTGGGTGCTGCCATATTTCGTCCTTGGTAAACGCGGTCACGTCTGACGTCACGTTACGTTGCGGAACGTTTGAAAAATGTATTAAATAAATTGTTTTATTTAATAAGATTGTTTTATTTTTATTTTATGGAATAAATTGTTTAATTTTTATTATATTTTATCTTATTTTTAGTTTTAGTTTTTATTTAAAAATATTTAAAATAAAATAAAATATAAAATAAATTTAGTTAAAATAAACGAATAAACAAATACACTTGAAATAAATTGTAAAAACAAAATTTATTTAAATTTTTTAATCGTTCTATTTTTACTTTATTTAACAAATTACTTATAAATGAAATAAAATAAATAAATACATTGTTTAATATACAAATAGTTTTAAAACGGCGAAACGACCATTAAAAACGCTTCAACCACACATTATCGCTTTAAATAAATGTCTTATATAAAGAATTATCGTTTCTTGCGGTGAAATATAATCGTGTTTTCTCTGACGCTGCGAGGTGAGAGTTGAAAGGGGCGTGATGCTGGGTAAGATGGCAGCCTCCGTGGCGGAGCATGGAGAAGATGCGTTTAGGAAACTGTTCAGGTTTTATAAGCGCAGAAATCCTCCTCCTGATTTCAGCCAGGTCATCGATTTCTCTAAAACAGTAGAAAATGAGAGGGTGAGTGTCCAAACCAGTGGTCTTTGTGAGCCGTCTGTGCCTGTAGCTTTAGCATTGAGAAACAACTGTGGAAATTCTACATTAATTTGTACACAAAAGTCTTACAGAATGGTGCAGTTGGCACAGTTTAATACAGGATACTACACAAGTATTATAGATTACCTTTATTAACGCTACCAGCACTAGAATTCTTATGGTTTTGTACAACTGTAGATCTTTTTTATGAGGGAAAATTGTGACTGAAAGAGGACATAAAATAAAAAAGAGCACACAAACACTGCAAAGCATTGCAGACAGTCATTCATGTAAGTTACACATTATTTAAAGAGATTGATGTCATGAAATAAACTGGAGTGAGAAATATTTGCAAGTATACATCGATAAGCCACAACATTTAAACCACCTCCTTGTTTCTATGCTCATTGTCCATTTTATCAGCTCCACTTACTATATAGGTGCACTTTGTAGTTCTACAGTTACAGACTGTAGTCCATCTGTTTCTCTGCATACTCTGTTAGCCCCCTTTTACCCTGTTCTTCAGGTCAGGACCCCCACAGAGCAGGTATTATTTGGGTGGTGGATCATTCTCAGCACTGCAGTGATACTGACATGGTGGCATTGTGTTCATCTCAAATCCAATTTTTAACATGTTGTAAATAAACATAGAGATGCATAATGATATTGGAATCACATCTGTATCAGCATATATAAAAAAAAACTTTTAGTTGGCACCAGATTGATATTTGATGATATATTTATTGTGTTACAGAATGTGTAGATGATGCTGGGCTTTTGAACTAAAGTACATTTTATTAATTTTACTGCATTTATAGCAACTATACAAATATAGCTTGTACTTCTCTGTAATTCTAATCCAGATAGATGTGATTTTATAAATGTTTGTGTATTCCCATTAGCATAAGCAGATATGTACATGAAAAATATTGGCTATGCACACCGACCCACATTTTCCATATTTGCGCACTGCTAGTTTAAATTTTACTTGACGTATTACCAACCTGATTAGCTGTCACTACCCTCTCGCTCCCATCACAAACCAAGTGGCTTGTGAGTATGTAGTCAGATTTTACTGGGTGTCCTGTTATTATTTCTCAGAAACAATGCTTGCAAATGTCCTCTACATAAGGTAGCCTCTATTAGTTGCATATTATCAAGGACAGTGTCATTTGTTTGATATGTAGTGGACTGGTGGATAAAATGAGCTTTGCTCGTAGGTTTTTGCAACTGAGCTGGACCTTGGCAGTCTCAGTGAGGAAGATGCTTGCGCAGCAGGACTTCGGCCTGTTAAAGACTGGAGAGCCTTCGGCCTTCAGGGATATCCAGGTATGAGGTTTATTTGGATTGAGAGAACTGACACAGGCGTATTACTGTTATTCACTTAGACAAGAAGAACCTACATACTCTTCAGTGATTGCATGTCTTATCTGACCTCAGCAGGAAAGTCAACATGTGATTTCTGCCAGCGCAGTATCTGGCTTTGTAATAAATGTTCTTATACAACGATAATGGGATCTTATATGTATTTCCCCCCAAACACAGGCTTCATATTCATCTCCAATCCCTTCCTACCGGGCTCACAGCGGTACTGGGTAAAGCAGTGCCTGAAAACCTACCCGCAAAAACCCAACGTGTGCAACCTGGACATGCACATGTCACCTACTGAGACTGAGAACATCTGGGAGAGGAGCATAGAGAGCATTCGGTGAATAAGCTTTAAAAACTGAACCATAAAATTATGTTATTTATCCTGTTTATATCCCTGTTTTTTCTGATGTATTAACGGAGAGATTATATCCTAAACTCCACTTTCATCATTTCATCAAGTTTCATCTTTAGTGTTCATGTAGGCCACAACAGTCCGTATGGAAGAACATTATCATAATCATTATCGATATATAATTATCATAAAGGTGTTAGGAGCTTTTGAAAAACTACGACTTCTTTGAGGTGGATACTTGAGCATTGGCTGTTGTCTATTTATTTATTTATTTACTCCCCTCCTCCCCTAGCTGGTTAATGTAGACAGCCTCTATGTTATTGCCTTTCTTTGTTGTTGTGGGTGTGGTTCCCAATGCATGCTGGGTATTGTAGTGAGAGAATGCTGATGGATGAAAGCACGAAAAGGATACAAAACCATGAATTCTGTCAAACCGATGAGGCTGGGGGATGCAGTGCTGCACAGAATATTACTTATGACAACATCACATATAACATTACATGCTAATTTTAGGCTGAAATGGCCCTTCAGACTTATTGAAATGATCTCTTTATGGGAACAAACGTTTTTGGATTGACTGAACGATAATTATAGTAGTATAACACTTTATAGACACCAATACTCATATAGGCATATAATGAGTGCTCTCCTGACCCACCAGTTTTCTGGGGTGATGATAATTTGGAACCTTAATGTGGTCATTTTAACATGAGTAGCCTGTTGTTTGGGCATCTAATGGTGCTCTTGACCAACATTGATAAGTATGTCCTTTCGTGCTACTTGTATTATTAGGATATAATTTGCACACAGTGTTTTTTTATTATTATTATCTAGGACCACATATGAAAGTGACTCAGGTCGGATTTGAAAAGATCAGATTTGCATGTCCACACAGCCCTGAAAACATCAGATCTGATTCACATTCGGATTTGTGCCACTTCAGCCTGCTAATGTGAACGTAGCCTAATTCTGAGCTGAATATATGGATTGTTTTGCAGGAGGAAGGGGAAGAGGGAGCCGAGGACACTTCTGGAGAAACTTCGTTGGGTGACTTTGGGTTACCACTACAACTGGGACACTAAGGTACAGCTCCCAGATTTAGTTTTATGACTGAAAATTATTCCCGTTTTTGCTTCTCTAAAACATCTGTCCTTCACACTTTTTTTCTCTCCTGGAACACCTGCTTCATCTCATTCACTAATTAAGACACCCTTTAGTCTCAAAGTGAGCTGGAGCTGGGGAATCCTGACCTCTGCTTGAAATAACCAAAAAAGAAACTTAACGAAGTTGAAAAGCTTGAATGTAAATCAAACATCATGTTCAAAGAAGGAGGAAAAGTTAATGCGTTTGTGTTGGTGGTGTTTTTTCCTCCCCCTGAGGGAACCATGTGCCTTACTGAAGTTAAATGCACTTTGCCCAGGATCTTATTAGCTTTGTTTCCTCCTTTCAGGACATTTCATCTCTAATTGTACAGACCTGATGCTTGCCTGTCTCGTTTATATGCTAATTACATAAAAGTGTTTAGTCTTCTGTCCTATTAAATCAGTCAGGAGTTGCACACAGGATTCATTAACCTGATCTCCGTTTGACACTGCCAAATGTCTGACAACGACCTGTGAATTTTAAGCAGTGCCTCTCTCGCTCCTCCTCTCTGTTTGAGGGCGGGCGGCGGCTGAGCTGCCAGCTCTGTTAGGATCACGGGCCTGCCTGGCTAATTCAGCTGTTTGGAAAGACACGGCTCACGCGATTATCTGCAGATTACACTTTCACGCCTCATCGCCGTCACTGGGACCTGGTGTGAAAGACAACGAGCAAAAGGCATAAACCAGAACAGCTTCCCCTGATCTTTTATTAGATATGTAAATCAGCCACCTCTTCTCATTCCGACAACTGCAAGAAAAATAAGCATTTATGTACATCATATTTCCAAAAGTTCGTAGACATCAAATTTTCTTCTGAAATAAAAGGTGTTGACAGGGAGCTTTGCTACTTTAACAGCCTCTATTCTTCTGGGAAGGCATTACGCTAGATCCTGTGTGCAGTACTAGGTTGTTATGAGGATTTGATTGCATTCAGCCACAAGAGCATGAGTGAGGTCAGGTACTGATGCTGGATGATCAGTTCTGGATCACTCCAACTTATCACCAAAGGTACTGGAGCTCCACCACTCCAGAATATATGCAGATCTACTGCCACACAACCCAATGCTGGGGGGCTTTATACCCCTCTAGCTGATGCTTGGCATTGGGCATAGTGACCTTAGACCTGCGGCTGCCCCATAGTGTCCCATTCTATTGATCTATGCTTTTCTAAGGAGATTAGTGTGGGTGCAATTAAACACCTGTGACCTTAACGTATCTGAATTCCCTAATTGGTAGGCTGTCTGGATACTTTTGGACAGCAGTTGCAGAAATTGCATCAACATATGAACATAAGATTTTTTTTTCTCTGCAGTACAGATTGCTATGATCAGTCAATAATTTATTCATTTTAAAAGCTTTTTTCTTATGTTTAAAACATGTCTCTCACCATCTAGACGTACTCTGCAGACCACTACAGCCCCTTCCCACTGGACCTCCACTCTCTGTCCCAGAACGTAGCTGCAGCCTGTGGCTTCCCTGGCTTTAAAGCAGAGGCAGGCATTCTCAACTACTACCGCTCTGACTCCTCTCTCGGAATCCATGTTGATGAGTCTGAACTCGATCATACGTGGCCCCTTCTGTCATTTAGGTGAGGAATATGTGTTGTTTGAAATGTTTGCAAACAACTTCTTTCTTTGTTTGCATTACTGCTGTAGCGCCTTTGGCTATAAAGTTGGTATCATGGTTGCACATTGCAAATGTATTATTCTTCTTGTCTTTTATTACTCTTATTTTTCTGTCGAATTTTTGTTGCATAACTCATCCTGCAGCTTTCGAGATATCAACACCGTTCCAGATCGTCCAGTCTGATTGTGTGATTCGGGCTTGTATGCAGCTTTTTGATCAGATACATGGATTCTGTGTAACAATGGAATTTTACAGAATTTTTGCCTATAGGAATGAATGGAGTGAAAAACCTGTGCTTTTGCTTGACCACTGTTTTAGTATCTCAGGGCAGACCCCCGAGCATGAATTCAATGTTGTTCTGACCCGCATTTGTCATTTTTCTTTTTTTTTCCTATTCATTTTTTCTCCCATAGAGTCCTATTCATTTTCGCCACCACACAAACTCTATTACTTCCTTGCCCAACAACAACCAAACTACATGTCCTCACTCAGGGTGTAATCAAGCTGTAATCCACAACCATACTGACCCGCACTCCTCTATGTGTCGTTTTTTCATCCCTCATTCCTCTCATAGACTCCCATTCATTTTCAACAACGCATAGCTAACATTTGGCATTTCCCTATGAACAACTGAACACACACTCCATACACCATGGCAACTGCCAAGCAGTAATTTAGAAACGGTATAGCAGCTGCCTAGCAACACCTTAGCAACCACCTAGGATATCATAGTAACCGCTGCACAACTATTCTGTGTTTCGTTGTGCTTTTGTCCATTTTTAAAGCTAACAATATATAATACTGTGAACACAAACAACACTGTTTACTTACAACTTAATGCAGTCAGTGAATTTGTGATGATTTAGGCTTGCAGTTTGGATAATGCTATTTGATGACTACGTTTTCTTTACTTCTTCTGGTTCAAAGACATGAAAAATCAGCTTCTGATGATTGATCTTGAAGCTGGTTGAGTGCAGAAGGAAGTCAGAAAACTAATGTTGCTGCTAGGAATCAGAATATTGCAGCCATATAACTGCAGTAAATGTCTTTAAACCTTACTGTCTAGGTTGCGATCTACCTTACCTCAGCTTCTTTTCTCTGGCTGAAGGAGTAAAAAAACATCTTTGCCTCCTTTTTGTGCTGAATAAAGATAAAATCACTGTTTTCCTTATGATTTTGTTTGACAGCTGAGGTAACTTACACTGTTGCTGTCTTGGTTCTATTTTATTTGCCTGTAGATCAGTGGCTAGGCTAGCAGTCAGGATTGGTTGACACCACAGGGAATTCTCAAAGGTTATGTAATGTATGAACAAAAACATGAAAATGATTGTGAAGTGCTGAGCTACTGAATACTGCATGACATGACAGACAATATATCAAACTCTAGTTTTAGGCCAGAATGCCTCTTTAATGTAAAGTCCCACACTTTATAATAGAAATATGTGGTTACTGACATCACCCAACTCAGTATTATAGGTTAAGTCTCATGTGTTGCTTTTATCTCTTCATGCTCTTGACCACACTCTGGTTTGTCTCAGCTTTGGGCAGACATCAGTCTTTCTCCTGGGCGGGACTAAACGACAGGACCCTCCCACAGCCATGTTCATGCGCAGCGGTGACATCATGGTGATGTCAGGCTCCAGTCGGCTGCTGTACCATGCTGTGCCCTGCATCATACCGGCCCCTGCTTCAGACCCCCTGCCATCCTGCCTGGGCCAGCGCCTGGGGAAGGAGGCAGCGAGTGATGGCCTCATTGAGGAAGTGTCTGAAGAAGAGTGGGAGGTGTGCTCCAAGTATCTCCTGACGTCACGGGTCAATATGACTGTCAGACAGGTTCTGGGACCAGGTCAGACTTTCCCCACAACACTGCCCCGTGTTGGAGCTGTAGCTGAATCCAGTGGCTATCATGAGGAGTCAGGACAAAATGCAAAGAAGAGGAAGAGCGAGTCAGGCTATGAGGATGACTCCTGACGTTCATCTCGGAACCACTTTTGGACTTTCATTAAGCTCAGAGCACGCAGACCCAACGTTCTCCAGCAGACATTGTAACATTGGCTTTGCAGCTGGATTTGTTCCGTTCCAAAATAGAACAGGCAGAAGAAATGAACCTATGTGAATGAGGAAAATGTTTTAGAACATGATGAGGACGTTCTAGAACTGAATGGGGTGAACAGTCTAGAACAGCAAGAATGGGGTGAACAGTCTAGAACACCATGAATGGGGAAGAACATGCTAGAACAATGTGAATGGGGGAAGATATTCTAGAATGGGAGAGAACACTGTAGAATAGTGTACAACAGAGTGAAGGGGGAGAACATTTCAGAACAGTGTAAAGGAAGTTCTAGAATGATATGAGCTTGAGAGAAGATTCTAAAACAGTGCGAAAGTGGAGAACATTCTAGAACAGAAGGCGTAGAGCATTCTAGAACAGAGTAAATGGGAAGAACATTCTAGAACAGCATGAACAGGGGGATTATCCTCAAACAATGTGGATGGGGGAAGATATTCTAGAATAGGAGAAGACATTGTAGAATAGTGTACAACAGAGTGAATGGGCAGAACATACTAGAACATGAAGGGGGAGAACATTTTAGAACAGTGTAAAAGAAGTAAAACGTTCTAAAATGATATAAGCTAGAGAGTAGATTCTAGAACAGCGTGAAAGTAGAAAACATTCTAGAATAGGAGGGGGAGAACATTCTAGAACTGTAAATAGGGAGAATATTCTACAACAGCATGAACAGGGGGAACATCCTAGAACAGTGTAAATGGGGGAAGATATTCTAGAATGGGAGAGAACATTTTGGAACAGTGTAAAGGAGGTAAAATGTTCTAAAATGATAGGAGCTTGAGAGAAGATTCTAGAACAGCGTGAAAGTGGAGAACATTCTAGAACAACATGAACAGGGGGAACTAGAACAGCATAAATAGGGGAGATTATTGTAGAGAACCCCAGCAAACACATGCAGGTAGGGCACACTAACGCAGCTTCTGGGGTTGCTGGAGAACGTTGGGTCTGTGTTCTTTGTAGGAAAGTCTGCTGCTGCTCTGAAGGCAACATGAGTTCTTTAAGTTAGTTATTTATTTGAACAGAATTCATTATTAAAGCTGTACATATGTGAATAAAACATCTTTTGGAATCAATTTTGTGATGTTTTCATGAACAGAAAACTCGCTGAGCAACAGACGTGAATTTTTATCTTCTTGTCAAGTCAGTTTGGCTCAAAAGACAAGACAACTACTTAATCTGTCATGTTTGACTTCCCTCACAGTGGCATCCACTTCATAAAGCAGCACTGACATTCAGCCCAGGCTGCCGGTAGACGTGCCAATGTGCTGGCCACTCTGTAGCGGCTGCCATGTTTGCTGGTTGGCCAATAACGCTAAACAGATCTGACCTTCAGAGAAAGGCAGAAGAGATGGCGTATCATCTCTTTAATCTGGTCACCCCGTGTCTGGACCGGGGAAAGATTGGCTTTGACAAGCTCCCCAAGGCACACAGCCTGACAAGGCCTTTGTGCTGTTGGACACGAGGCGCCAGCGTTACCTAGGCAATGAAACCTTCCTGTCAAATGAGCTGCTTCTGACAGAGAGGCCTGGGAAGCTGGCTTCTTGGATCTCTGTTTATATTCACTCTCGTTGTTGAAATTGATGAATGGGTGTAGAAGAAAGTTTACAGGAGTTAATGAGGAACCCACTTGGATGTAAGACAAAGAATTCCCTTGGAAATGTCTTGGTTTTGGGTTTCCAGCTCCAGTCACTGTGGTTAGAACAGTCTAAACCCATACTTAATAAAAGTGTCATTACTTTAGTGAAATACCTTTATTGATGAAAAGTACAAAAGTAGCAGGTCAAAAAAGGGCTGAGTAGCTCACAGAACTGCAGTGGAACTAGAACATCCACATAGGAACTGAAGTTTGTGATTGTGATTACGAAAACCAAGACGACTTCATGTGCATAGTGACGTTTTGGTGCTGGTATTGTTTGTTTTTAAGCAATTTTTCATCACTACTGTGATTTTTTTTTGTTTTCCACTTTGTCTAAAGTAAAATACAGTTGGACTATCAAAGTTTGTGTCTGAAGAGTAAAAGCAGAATGTCTCACACTTTGTATGCAAGCGTGAGCAAACATGAAGTACATGTAATGGAGTAAACTGAACTAATTGCTACCTACCTACAGTGAATATTTTGCCTGCTCTCATATATGTGATTAAATTCATGAATGGCGTGATAATGAGTCTGAATAAGATGGCAGTAGACTCACATACTGAGAGTTGTATTAGTGTTAAATGAGGGATGATACGTGTTGGCTTGACCTTTTTTGCCTTGAATTTATTGTTCATTGAATATGGAGACAGCTACACTATATGGACAAAGGTTTTGGGACACATCTCTTAATCATTGAATTCAGGTGTTACATTCAGTCCCATTGCCAAATGTGTATAAAACCAAGCACCTAGCCATGCAGCCTGCCTTTACACACATAATTGAAAGAATGGGTCAATCTAAAGATCTCACTGAATTTGAGTGTGGTGCTGAAATAGGAAGCCACAATTGTAACAAATTAGTTTGCGAAATTTCTTCCCTCCTAGAGATTCCAGGATCAACTGTGAGTGGTATCATTGAAAAGTGGAAGCGTTTAGGAACCAAGCAACTCAGCCACGAAGTGTCAAACCACTTCAAGTTACAGAGTAGGTCACCGAGTGCTGAGGTCGTCCGAGTGCGTAAAGGTCGTCCAACGCTCTGCTGGCCTGCAGAGTTCCAAACCTCCTCTGGCATTAACATCAGCAAGGCCGAACAGCTGCATGCAGGCCTTACATCACCAAGCATAATGCCCAGCGTTGAATGGAGTGGTGTAAAGCACACCGCCACTGGACTCTGGAGCAGTGGACACGTATTCTGTGGAGTGACAAATCACACTTCTCTATCTGGCAGTCTGATGGACGTGTTTGGGTTTGGCGAATTCCAGCAGAACATTACCTGCCTGACTGCACTGTTCCAACTGTAAAGTTTGGTGGAGGGGGATGATGATAAGGGGCTGTTTTTCAGGGGTTGGCCAAGAACCCTTAGTTCCAGTGAAGTGAAGTCTTAATGCTTCAGCAGACCAAGACATTTTGGACAACTGCATGCTTCCAACTTTGTGGAAACAGTTTGGGGAAGAACCTTTTCTGTTCCAGCATGACTGAGCCCCAGTGCACAAAGCAAGGTCCATAAAAGAATGGCTGGGTAAGCTTGATGTGGAACTGGACTCGCCTGCACAGAGCCTTGACCTCAACCCCATCAAACGCCTTTGGGATAAACTAGAACAAAGATTGTGAGCCAGGCCCTCTCATCCAACATCAGTGTCTGACCTCAGAAATTCTCTCCTGGATAAATGGCCAAAGATTCCTACAGACATTCTCCAACATCTTGTAGAAAGCTTCCCAGAACAGTGGAAGCTGTTATAGCTGCAACAAGGGAACCAACTCCATATTAATGCCTATGGGTTTAGAGTGGGATGTCATAAAATTACACTGTAGGTGTAATGTGTAGGTGTCCCAATACCTTTGTCCATAAAGTGTATTTCTTTTGTATACTTATACATAATATGTACAGTGTCCCCAAAAATATTTGGACACTCCACAACCATGTTACCATTAGCAAACTTCAATGAAGTTCTTTAGGTTTCTTCATAAGTGTTGAACAAAATGATATTTGTTTCCGAGAAAAACAGTTGGGAGACTCTTTGTGTGGAGAAAGCCTGGAGAAGAACTCTGACCAGAATTTGTTTTTCTTACAGAAGTGTTGGTGAGCTTGTATTCATTGATGGGATCCTGAACTGTGTACAAAGACATTTTGGATGCAAACCTGAGGTCTGAAAAGAAACTGCTCAAACAATAACACCAGCTGCACACATAACACTAGCTGCCTTTTGAAACAATGCTTTACAGAATAAAACTGACTTGGCATGGTCTGTTTAAAACAAAGGCCTTTTGCTTTGACATTTAACGTTTTAGAGTACGGCGGAAATGTCCATATAGTTTTTGAGGCTTTTTGTTGGTGTTCTTCAAAAAAGAAATAATTTGTGAGAAAACTGGCAAAAAGCCAATTGATAGGCTAGGCAGTATAGGAAAACTGTTAAACTTGTTGTAATTATATATATATATATATATATATATATATATATATATATATATATATATGGTATGATTCATTAGAAAATCTGCTACTGTGTCATTTTTTACACATACAAGCATCTCTCAATGGCCCCTTCTGGATGATGTTAAGTGCATTTTGACCTGTTTTGTAGTGCACTGTAACAGGAGCAACTCGAAACAACAGCAATCATAGCAGTGAGTATGAAGGGTGAACTTCCACAGAGCAGTTTAAATACTGTGGTTTTATTCCTGCCCTGCATATCTCAGTCTTAACCATGCTCGCCAGGATGCCCCACACAATAAGTAGACAGCAAGCTCTCACCCAGAGCCTTTGTCCTGGTATCAAAATAAGCGTAATTATCACCATTGTCTCGAGGAAACAGCAGTAATTATGTGTTTTCCAATAATTCATAAGCATACAAAGTAAAAATCTGGGATTGTATTTTAACTTTGGGACAGCAATGATGATTTGATTAGCAGTGCTGCTTTGCTTCAGAGGCTGGAGTCCATTTAGGATGGCTTCTGGGATAATTACCTCTGTTTTGTGTTTACTGGGTGGGGTGATAATTGGGAAATTGTTAGATGAAATATCTGACTTCAGCCTTGGTTTAGGCTCTTAAATAAAACAACATTGGCAAACATTGATCCATTAACTAAAGAAATACACAGAGGGACACAATAACCATGTACCTACACTCATTGGCCATTTTAGCAGAAACACCTCCCATATAGGTTACATATAGGTCACCTTGTAGGTTTGAAATTAGTAACTGCAGCCCGTCTGTGCTGCTCAGTGGGTCTGTCTCCTTCAACCCTGTCCATCAATGGAACTGACCACTGACCAGATTTGGGTAGTGGACCATTCTCAGCAGTGACAGCAGTCAATACACAGTAGCTTCCATCAACACTACACAGACAGCCCTGATGTCTATTTACTTTTGTTTTATTCATAATGCAGTTCATCAATCATGTCCAAACAGATCCTTCACAACCTGCAACATGATATATACATTACTCTTAATTATGCAGTCTGACATAAACATTAAGGTTAACATTAAATGCTAGTGGATGGAGTGGTATGTCTTGAGAGCATCAACCATTTGAGAAATAATGCTAATGATAAGTGCTTGTAAGGATTTTAGGTATTTTACCTTCTATGATGTATAATATCATCACAAAATTCCAGGAAATCACGAAAAAGATGACAAATGGCTTTGTCCCAATCCACTACACTGAGTGCACTTTTACTTTTTTCACTCAAAATCACACAAACAGGCCCTAAAACACATAACAGATAAATAACAATAAATATGACAAATATTATTACAAAATTAATAATATCTGTCTTTCAGTTTACATTGATTTTGAGTATTAAAATGATCTAACATTAAATATGCAACTCAATTTGTAATTAAAAATAAAGCCTGTCTTGCTGTGCATCAGGGTTTCATGCACTTAGCATGAATCGAAGGGGACAGAAAATCAATAAAAAACATGGCTGCCTTATGTCAATTGATTATTTTTGCTCATAATAACCAATAGAATGAATCACTATCAAAATTCTAGCACTTTCAGCTCACAGACACTCCAGACAAATAATTTCTATTTCTATAAGTAAAAAAATACAGGATTTTACAGGTGCTAGGTACATTTTTGATAAAAAATTAGCCGAATTCATAAAGATTTTAAATTTCTGTTAGCATTTATATGTCAAATAATGGCATATCTGAGTAGCCCAGGGTCTCCTGTGTGACTGTCTCATGTAAATACATTATAATTGCTATTGTAATTGTAACTGACCCAAGATACCAAAAAAAAGAATCCCCAAAATTTTAGGATTCTAAGGGTTAATACTGAGAGATATATACACATTTTGGAGCAACATAAGCTGCCCTCTAGACAAGATCTTTTTCGAGAACAACCATGTTTGTTTCAACATGACAAAGCCAAGCCATATTCAGCATGTGTCACAGATTAGCCTGTCTGCAGTCCAGACCTGTCTCC